TTTTAAGAGGGACCCTGAGAACCCAAAGCTCAACCAGGTGAACTCACCAGCAATCAAAGATGAAGGGGCAGGCATCCAGGAAAGAGAACTCAGAGAGGACCTTATGCTCCCTGCATTTATCGGAAAGCTTGATATGTGGAATGTGCTTATTTTTCATAGTCCTGAGAATGGGCCTAGAGCTAATGGACAGAAATTACAGGAGAGAGGATTCCAACTTTGTATAAGGAAGGACTCCCTAGCCATTGGAACAATAATAAATATATAGAACAAGCTGCCTGATGTGGTAATGAGCCCCCCCCCCCATATCTCACAGTAACCCTATACAGGCCAGATGAACACCTATTTAGGATGTTGTAGGGGAAAATGCCTCTATCAGATCCAGTATGTGTGCCATTGAGATCAGAACCAGCGTAGTGTTAAGGCTGAGGAGAGAGCATCACGCCAGGTTGGGACCCCAGGCTTTGGAGACTACATGGTGTTCACTATGTTGTGAAGAAGCCAGGCCACATGGAGAGGCCATGTGTAGGTGATTTGGCCACCACTCCAGCTAAGGCATTAGCTGATCGCCAGTATCAACCACTAAACACGTGAATGTGTTAGCCTTCAGGTAATTCTAACCTTCCAACTTTGAACCATCACACTTAATATCAAATGGAGCAAAGATGAGATGCCCTGCCCAACTTGGCCCAAATTCCAAATTCACAAGCAAAATAAATGTTATCATTTTGAGCCATTAAGTTTAGGGGTAGTTACATAGTGCTGGGTAACAGAGACACAATGGTTATGTCATATTCTAAATTGCCACCTATCTTCAAGGCAACTTACAGGTGCTGGGTCAAGTAGAAGGTGGTATTATTTGCAGAAAGGGGGCTGTGCTTGGGCTCATGAGAGAAGAGAAAGCTTGGTGAAGCTATTGGGTGAATATGAATGAGAGATGAATGAGGACTTGACCCATGATTCATTACACCCTCCCTTCTCTACCGGGTTTTATGAGTTTTCTAACTCTCCTTGAGAAAGAAGCTATATTGAGCAGATCTGCAAAGACAAGATCCTGCAGATCCTGACAAGAAGGTGGAAGAGAATTTTGAGGTGTGTAGATGGAGAAAGGAGTGGTGGACTTAGAAACTCAACACCTGAGGAAACAGAACGAAACAAAATGGGCCAACATATTGTTTGCTGTTGGTACGGAAAGGAATCGTAGAGATTGTGTTCTAGATAAGGAGACTGAGATCTGGCACATAGGAAACGACTAAACACTAATTGTATAGTACAGACACTACAATTGAATTTCAGAGAACAAAGGTTAGGTGTGGTGAGGGTATGGATGGGTGATGGGTTCAAAACAGCTTTCCAGATAAGGGAGGACCAGAAAACTGAGACAAAGTGGATATGATAAAAGACTCTGTATTGGGCAGCCCGGGTGGCTCAGCAGTTTAGCACCACCTTCAGCCCAGGGCGTGATCCTGGAGACCCGGGATCGAGTCCCACATCGGGCTCCCTGCATGGAGCCTGCTTCTCCCTCTGCCTGTGTCTGCCTCTCTCTCTCTCTTTCTGTGTCTCTCATGAATGAATAAATAAAATCTTTTTTTAAAAAAAATAAAAATAAAAGGCTCTGTATTTAAGAAGGGGAATGGTATGACAGTTCCTCTAAAAGTTAGGGCAGGGAACCATGTCGGAAATTCTCTCATGGAGGACAGTTCTCTCATTTTGGAAGGGAAAAGGTTACGCTGGGCACACAGAAGAAGGGAACCAGAGTGGGTGACCAGTTCCCCAGCAATCAGGCCGTGGTACTTTAGGGTATCCAAAGTCAGCTTTCCTGGTGCTGTGGATGCAGGTGGGAGGAGGCAGGCATGGGATGCCACTAGAAGATAGTTACCTGACTTCCTCATTGCCTTCCAGGCTATAATCAACATATTTTAAAATTAAAAAGCAATGATGTAAATATGGACTGAAATCTTCCGAGTGTGATTTCTGAAGGTCACTGAAGTCCCCACACCGTTCATTTCTCCTCCTTCCTTTCCTGCAGCACACAGCATCGATTACCCTCCTGAAGAAAGAACAAAAAAGCAATTTCAGAATCTAAAGTGGAAGAGGAGGGTATTAATAATAGTGAAATTTGACAGGACAGAGACCTCCCTGAATCTGCTCGGACCATTTAAAGCCTTTCTGCCCCCTCTGGACTGACTAACACAAGCATAGGTGCATCAGACCGCAGGAGGGGGAAGATGCTTATGCGGAAAGCAGTAGTATGTACAGACTGGCCTGTGTCTGGACGTGTCTCATCTTACTCCCCGTTGTCTAAATCAGGTCATGTCAGCTGTCAGTAACATTTCATTCCTCTTTTCAGAAGATGCTGTCAAAATGCAGTTAGTTTGGAAGTTGTGCACAGGGCAGTTAATTGGCTTTAAGTTAAAAAGAAATATGCCAATGCGGTGGTGGTTTTAGTTTGGAGAGTTATTATAATAGATAGGAATTCTAGAAAAAAAATAGGTCAAGTCTAAGTGGAATTGATAGGCTAATGATAGGCTATGAGATGGACTCAGTGGGTGTTTTTGAATAGGAAAAAGGAAATGTGTTCCTACTACAACCTTATTTAAGATTCATTGTAGGGTCTGGAGCCCAGCCTGTGCATGTGTGATGTGTAGCCCAAGGGCTTCTCTCAAGATGTCAGGCCCACCTACTTAACCCTACTGTCTAGCAGTTAGAGCTAAGATGACCTGATATGTCTTAGAATTGGGGATTACAGAAGCTGTTGATCAAGAGAATTTCTCTGCCTTCAGGGAGGAGTAAACCAAAATCATTCTACATGTATTAAATTGTTTGTAAGTTATATTCCTATGAAAGACCTCATAGATGCACCCCGGGGGAAGCTATTTAGAATTAATTATCACTGTCAGGAAATTGTCCACGTGCGATCTCTCATAGTGTGGGCTCAGACTTCCCTTCTCACCCTTTTGCAAAGAGACAGGCAGTAGCTGGTTATTACCTTCCTGATAAGAAGCATCCACATTCTTAATCTCTTTTTCCTTACATATATTTGCTTCTGAAATCTTTCTTCATATGCCCTTAAATATTCATGGCTTGATGCACCTCTTGAAGTCGGTTGCTCTTTCGTTATGAAACCCAAGCTGGGCTGTGTATTCTAGAAAAACTTTGGCCAATTCAACGTAGAAAGAGCTATGATTTAATGATCCTACAGTCCAGAGCTTATTCCTCCAGGACCACACTAGCTCTTTAAACCACAGTATGAGGATGGCCGATGGCCATTTATTGTCTTGTTACTTTCCTACCAGACTTGCATGTGATTCTTCTCTTTCCCAATAACACTCCCTCACCAAATGTTTCCTTAACGGGCCATGATTAAATGGTTTTGATTCATTGTTCAGTGAGTATGTAGGACCCATTTTTTAAACATTAGGAAATACATGGTGCTACAGCCAGAATGCTTGTGTCCCACCCTACCCCCCAACTTCATTTGCTGAAAACCTAATGCCCCCAGCAATTGTATTAGAGGTGAGGCCTTTGGGGGTGATTAGGTCATAAGGGTGGAGCCCTCATGAATGGGATTAGTACCTTTTTAAAAGGCTTTCAAGAGACCTCACCCCTTCTGCTATGTGAGGATGCAACAAGGAAGTCTGCAGCCTAGTTGAGGGCCCTCACCTGACTATACTGGTACCCTGGTCTTGGACCTCCAGCCTCCAGAACTGTGAGAAATAAATGTCTGTTGTATATAAGCCACCTAGTCTGTAGCATTTTCTAGCAGTGCAGACTAAAACATATGGTAAAAAAGAAAAAAAAAACCATATGTAATGAAAAGTTTTTTTCCAGTATCTGCCGTAGCCATCTAGCTCCAAACCAAGGAGTCCAATCCCACCTCCTGCTCTTTTGTGTGTTTTGAATACAGTTGGCAGTGCGCCTTAACAGTGTTCTGCATCTTTCCTTAAAAAATAATAAATACATATTGGGGATCTTTCCCTTTGGTACACACAGATCTCCCTCATTCGATGATACAGTGGCATAGCACTCTGCTGAGGGGATGTACCATAATATATTTATTCCAGACATTTCTGGATATTGATCCCATTCTCCAAAGTATCCTCTACAGCTGAAGACTGTGGAAGACTCACTGTTGAACTTCATTTTCACTGTTCACCGATTTGCACGGTGCTTCCTATGAGCACAGCTCTGTGCTTGGTGCCAAAGGGAATGCAAGCAGCAGCGAGTTGGGCAGCCTCTGCTCCCTAGGAAAGCACAGCCCTCTGCAGGGAGAAAAGACATGCGGATGAGAGCCTGTTTGCCAGTTCTCCCCCCACCCCCATCCACCTTTGTTTTCTTGCACATCAGATGCTCTTTCCCATGGCCTTGTACATGGTACATGTGGCCTTTCCATTTGTGGGATGGGCATCTGACTGTGAACCTGAGACAGCTTACACTGGGACCTTCTAGAGCAGGGATTGCCAGCTCCCCTACAGGGGCCAGAAAGGAGATTTACGTGAGTGCAATGAAATGAGTGACCCAATTGGGAGTGCAAGAGCTCTGTTTAAAGGGAACTGTGGGCTGCTGCTCTGCTCCAGGAAATCATTTCCCTGAGGCTGCTAGATCTTCTGATTGATTAAAAGGAAGCAGCTGGTAAAAAATACATGGGATCTTTCTGTGTTATTTCTTACAACCTCAAGGGAAACTACAACTGCCTCAGAATAAAAAGTTCGATTTACACTCATAGCCAGCACCCTGGATCAGTGTGTGAAATTACCCGATTTACAAGCAGGGGAGGAATGTTAACACTACAGGCCCAGCAAAACTCATCTGTAAGCCAGATACAGCTTCAAGACCACCATTTTGCTATCTGTGCATAGCTGGATCATTATATTTGAGTTTCATGAAGCCTGAGGCAGCCCAATCCACGCATTTGCTTAAAACATATTTCTTGTTCCTGGAACTTTCCATTGTCTTCAACAGTGGCCTTTTCCACTTAGTTATTGAGCTTCCTCTCATTCCAGGTCCTTGGATGTGGCTCCGTTGCCCAAGCTATCCTCAGTCGAGGACACTTTGGAGGAATTGTCACTATCAATGTTGGATTTGCAATGGCAGTTGTAATGGCCATTTATGTGACTGGAGGTGTCTCTGGTAAGAAATAGAAATAATAGCTGCCATTAATTGAGCCATTCCAGTGTGCTAGCACAGTGTTGGAGGTTTTACAGTTTATTTGGATCCCAACAGCCCTGCAAGAATATGTATTTGATTCTGTTTTTATAGATGTCAGAATCAAAATGGCCAGCAAATGGTGAGTGACTTATGCAAGAGCAGCAATTTAGCAAGACACAAGAGATGGGGGTTAGGACTAAGAACTGGCTGATTCCTATACTGAGCCATTACATTCTATTCTTCATCTGTCAGTACGATCTTTTTCTGGTTTCTACCCAATGCTTGGAAGCCATTCCCAGAGACCCAAAGATCGTTCCAACTGAGACAAGTCCCTGGACCTTTCCCTACAGCAATCGGAAAAGTCTAGGCCACTTGCAAAATGGCTGGTGCTTTCATGGACGTGGTCTCACTGAGCAGCTGTTGGTTGATTTCTGCCCTGAGAGGTGGACTGTTTCGAAGCCATTCACAAAGTTCTGAGAAGCAAAATGAAATGATAATACTTAATGCAGTCTGGGAACTCAAGAGAAGCCTTGGGAAGTGATGCAGTCCACAGAGACGCTCAGAATCTTTCAGCAGCCTGGTCCAAACACCAAGGAAAGACTGCTAAGGATAAGGGCAGAAATGACAGCAAAGCGTGCTGGGCACTGTGCTGGCTGCTGTACACACCCCATCCCCTTTCTCTCCAGCAGCACTCTGCAGCAGGCTTTCCTGTCTCCATTCCACCAAAAAAAAAACTGGAGCTCCAAGATAACAAGAAAATTGCTGGAGTCCTACAGCTGATAAAGATGCAGAGAAAAGATCTGACCCAGGTCTCTGTGACAGAAAAGCCTCCTGTCCCCACTGTTATACAGTTTGCACGATGGCCTATTATGGGAAGGGCATGACATTACAAGCAGGGCCTTTGGGCAGAACAGTCCTGGCAGAGGGTCCTGTGGTCAAGCTGGCTGGCCTGGTGACAGATGCTGCCACAGGAATGCTGAAGAATGGTTGCCCAGACCCCCTAGGAGCCTCGTGGAGCTGGGCATCTAGAACCGTCATCTGCAGGCTGCCACCCTTTCCATAGCACATAGACTCAGCTCCTGGGGCGGTCTGGGTTAGAGATTCCTGTGCGTGATTGTTTGACATGAGTGGTGTTTATGTTCACACTCTTGTCAAGTCTTTGCTGTGATCCCAGGGCTGTAGTGCCTCCCTAAACACAGGGGTAGACAGGGGACAGTCCTGACTGTGCCAAGGCCTTGGCAGCTGACACAGATCATAGTTGCAGCCTAAAAGGAGCAGGCAAGATGCTCTGCTGCTGCCCTCTCTGTGTTCCCATTACATTCACACAAGGCTGGTTTCCACACTGTGGAATATAAATGCAGGTGTATTTTTTTTTGATAGAGACACGGATTTGGAATATTTCACCTGCACAACACCCCAAATTGAACATCATCACATATTTATTTAGAAGAAATTAGTCCCAAACTTTACCAATGTAGGTAGTAGCTTTCATCACCAATGTGGCCCATGTCTGTTTGCATCTACTGATATACTCAGGGATTTGGACAGTCACCATAGAGAAAAAAAGGCAGAGACCAACAGGAGGAAGAGAGGGTGAGGGATGGCGTGAGGTCTTCCCATCAGGCCCCTGGACTGGGGTTAAGTTCCTGTGCTCAGAAGAGTGAGAGCTAGAGCCTGTGGGACTCTTTCCAGGTGAGGGGTAACTGGCTACCAAATTGTTCACGAGAGTCCAGGAGACCCAAAATACAAGTAGAGCAGTTTCTGAGCCTGGCTGATACAGGTAGCATTGGGTTGGGAAGGAAGCTTATCTCCCCATCTCTGGGACCATCTTCAGGTTCCTTGAGGCCTGGTGGCTTTGGAGACATGCAGAGACAACACACTAGCCCACTGTTGACATCCCCACAGGCATCAGTATTGCCTTTTAGCAGGCACAGGAATAGGACAGGAAGACTGTGTGTGGAAGGTGACTTTCTCCTGTGGCTGCAGCTAACATACTGGTTTGCGAGCACATGTGAGGCTCTCTTTGAGGATTACAAAGATAACCAGTGGAGAGTGGACATAAACATGAACAAGATTCTATTTTGTGGTCACAGACTGGTGAAGTCAACTGACATCTGGTTTTGCAATAGAAAACACTACCTTACTGGAAGGAAGTTACCATGCCCTCTGTTCCCACATGAACAAGCCAGTGGCCCGCCACTCCAATCTGGCCAATCAGAACTAACAACTCCCCCATTAATTATGCAACGCACCCCCCCCATTAGGTGTTTATGCTGCCTGCTTATATGGTGGTTGTTTTTGATGTAGAGGGGTTTTTGTTTGTTTTGTTTTGTTTTTTAAGATTTCACTTATATATTCATGAGAGAGACACACACACAGAGAGAGAGAGAGAGAGAGAGAGGTAGAGACACAGGCAGAGGGAGAAGCAGGCTCCACACAGGAAGCCCAACGTGGGACTCGATCCCAGGTCTCCAGGATCACGCCCTGGGCTGAAGGCAGCGCCAAACCACTGAGTCACAAAAAAAAAAAAAAAAAAATCAAACCACTGAGGGCTGCCTGATTTAGAGTTTTATGAGCAATAAAAATTCTTCAAAAAGCAAAAGAGCTTTGCATAATGATAGATAAAATATTAAGGTTGTCTCTATCACAGAATGGCCTGTGCATGTGGGAAAGGAGGCGACGTGCCTAGAGCAGCACCTTGAAAGAGTTCATTCTGCTCACGTAGACTTTCATCTCACGGGCCTGGTGGGCTCCAGCTCCACCCTGGGCTCTTCATATGAGTCATCTGATCGTCACAACAACCTTGGCAGAGCCAAGACTGGAGGGCGGCGCTCCCTGGGTCTAGCATTCGTGTTCACTCCACTACACTACTCTGCTTTGTCCAACAGTGAGCCAGGGGCTGAGCACTGGCCTCTGCGAGGAGAAATCTTTCCATTGCTTGGCAAGGCACCCTCCGGGACACACCCCCTCTCTGATTTCCAAACAACATTCCCTCTCACTGGGCCTTTGTAGTCTGAACTGCCCGAATAAAGGTTTCTGACTATTTATTTGCTCAACGTTCATATTTTGAACACCTACTGTGTGCCTTGCATTGTGTAAAGTCGGAGATGAAGAATGAGCACCCTGTCTCAGAATGTCTGTGAGGGGCTAAAAAGCAGAAACCTACCTGTGGGAAGTTTTCTTTTGGAAGGGGAGCGTGCCAAACACAGAGTTCTCTAGAGCATTGGTGGATTCTGAGGGAAGGTGTTGCTGATTGGAGGTGATTTCTTATGGGCTCTTGATCCCTCTGGGCTGCTGGTTGGTGGCTCCTCTCCAAACAGCCACTGGGAAAAGGGAAACAGGGCTGGCTTCGGGAACTTTCCACTGCCTATGTGTTCCTCTGTCCTAACCCCTGTTCCCAGCTTGCCTAGTGGCAAGCTTACTAAGTGGTGATCCTGCTGGTCTCCAGAATTGTGGCTCTCTTAGACTTAAAAGTAAAACAAAACTTTGGATATGTTCGTAAGGCTTCAGGAAGTCACTCACGCTCTGACATATTGGCATTTTCTTGCTCAGATTAGCCCCTAAGTGGCAGGGGCAGGTGAAGAAAGAGCCCATGTGGTTTAGGCAGCAGGGAGAACAACTTTCTGCAAGCCCACTTTGGCTTACAGACTCAGGAAGAGCATTGCTTTCTTCACAGGGGAGGCCTTCCAGAAACAAGCTCACCTGTAGGTTCTATAAGGAGTCAAAGGATGAAATTTCTTCTTTTCTTCCTTCTCCTCCTCTTCTCTCTCTTCTTTATTACCTTTTGTTCACAACTATGTCCACTGAAATGTGGACACATTGGCAGTGACTCTACTTCCCCCTGCACACAAAGTGTACTCTTCAAATGAACATGTTTCATTTCTAGGAACTAAGCCTAAATGCTCAAAGATGATATCTCAAATTTTTTTTTCTGCCCGCTAAGGCAGGGAAGACTTATAAACATGGTGAAGGAGGTCTGGAAGTGGTATAACATAGAACATAGACTCTAGAGTTTGTATGAACCTGCATTTGAATCCCATTTCTACCACTTAACCAATCATGTAGGCTTTAAAAAGTTGCTTTATTTCAGTGCCTCAGTTTCCTCACCAGTTAATTGGAGTAATACCCAGCTCACTGGGTTCTAAAAAGGGTCAAATGTGGGTAATACCCCAATAATAACATATGGCAAATGTTCAGTAAATGCTGTTGTTAGTAGCAAAGCTGATTGGGGTGTCAGTGACCAACCGCTGAGCAGATCTTCTCTTGGATCTGGCAGCTAGACGAGAAACTAGGAAGCTGATTTCTCTAGGACAGTTTAGGTCAGGGTAATAGAAGTGGTGCTACGTTTGTGTGTGAGAGAGAAACTGAGCTGTTCCTCTGTGAACAGTGAACTCAGACACTGTGGTCACCTCAAAGTAAATTGAGCCCCTCACCCCAGTGAGAGGCACAGCCCACCAACCTAGGTTCTTTGCCCTTAGACATCTCGTTTCCATCTTAAGGTAGTTTTATATCTTCTGGACATAGACCAAGGAATTTCTAGATGCAGATGTAATCCTTAAACAATATATGGTGTCAGTATTTTGACTTTAAAAATATATTGAAGTTAATAGTTTATATCAATCTCTTTGAGGTTATTGTTTCATAAAGACCATTGGATAGATGATAGCTAGGTAGATGATAGATCGATGTCATAGAGATAGAAGATGAACCTCTTGAGCACAACTTTCTTTCCATATCTGACTCCCTTTTCAGAAAGCTAACCTTCTTAGACAGTGTCGAGTGTGGTTATTAGTCCCCCTTTTCTCCCTGCCCCCATACAGTACAAACACACATCTAAGCCTCTGTCTCTCCATATACAGCTCTCTACCTAGAAGACTGAGTCTTCCTGAGGTCTCTAGATAAGGTCTTCTGTGTAATAATCCTCCCTGGCCTGCTGCTGACATCCCTAATCATCTTATCTTTCTTGCAGGTGGCCACATCAACCCAGCTGTGTCTTTTGCAATGTGTCTCTTTGGACGGATGAAATGGTTCAAATTTCCTTTTTATGTGGGAGCCCAGTTTTTGGGAGCCTTTGCAGGAGCTGCGACCCTCTTTGGCATTTACTATGGTGAGTAAAGCCCCTGAGCCCAGACCTTAGGGAGAGTTGGCCAAGATTTGAGAGTCATAATTACTTGCTAGGAAGAGATGAGATTAGGCAAGAAGAGGGAAGTGTTCCACAATCAACAGGCAGTTCTAAGAATTCTAAGTTCTGAAGAGTGAGGCCAACATTATCATTAGGACAAATTCATGAAGTCTTTTTAAGAAAATGGTCACAATTTAAATGGAGGGCAGAACTGGAAGTCTATCTTTAGATCCAATCAGTACTATAGCATGAACATGCACAAGATAAGCAACAGGCCAGTGGCTTCTCCACAAGCTTCCTCTGGCTTGGCTGGGAGAAAGCGTGTTCATTGGTAGCAGAGGGTATGATGATTAAGTATTCAGAGAAGGAATCTGGAACAAAGTCTTTGAAGGAAGGGGTGCAGTTGAGAATAGGCTAGGTGGGGATCTCCTCCCCATTCTGTTCTGCAACAGTCCTGGGGGGAGAAACAGTCCTGGCGATTGAAGACACAGACTTTAATTCTGTGCTATGTCACTAAGTAGCTGTGTGACTTAAGTAAGTCTTCTGACTTTATCCATCTGTTTCCTCCTCTGGAATGTAAGAGACTTGACTTCTAAGACCATTCAAAGTAAAAGATCTTGGGACTGCATGAAATTAACTGTCAAAGTAGTTCCCAGTTCTCAGTACATTATGATTCTCAAAATGAAGTCCTTCAGAACTAGAATTTATGAACCATGCCTTAGAAAAATACATTGTGGAAGGAGACTTCATCCCACAGAGTGTCTTTCTGAGAAATAGAGCTTAAGAGGACTGGTGGAGAATTTGAGACCAGATCAGAAGAGAGAAACTCAGAGAGCCAGCTGCTGTGGCAGGAGAGACCTGGGGTCAGCCCTGGCTGTGTCAAGGACTGTTGTCTCTCTTGCTTCAAGGGCATCTTCACTGGACCATAACACCCTCAACTTCTGGCCTGGTAGTATGTGCTACTTGAGAACCTCCTGGGAATTATGAATTCTGCCCACAGTAGATCACAGCTCTATTTTGGCATTCAGTTGATCTCAAAAATTCCAAGAATTGCCCCCAAAGAATATTAGTTCCCTGGACCCACCAGCTAAGGATTTGGATGAAGTGTGGAGTGAACTCTGGAGGGCAGTCAGGACTTTCTATTTTTGACTTGACATCCTAGAATTTCTCTGGGCATCTCTAAAACTACCATGATATGAAGTGAGGAGAGGAAAATGGTATGGATCTGCCTAGCTGAACCTGAGTGTTTGATTGTAGTTGTTTAGCACAAGACCAGGCATAGGTCTCCCTAGGTTTTGCCCAGAGAACACTAATGTGCCAGAGTTCTGTCTTCCATAGATGGACTTATGTCCTTTGCTGGTGGAAAATTGCTCATCGTGGGAGAAAACGCAACAGCACACATTTTTGCGACATACCCAGCTCCATATCTGTCTCTGACTAATGCATTCGCAGACCAAGTAAGTGTATACTTAACAAAGATCGAACTTTGGTGAAAAGATATGAGCTAATAAGAGGGACACACAGGAGCATGCAAAGTCAGAGGTCACTAGGCATAACCCAAGCCTTTTTGACAAGTTTTTCCTTTACCAAAGTTGATACCACTAAAAAAGTTTTCTGGTTTCTTTTTAATAGGTAGATTGGAGGGTACCTGGGTGGCTCAGTCGGTTGAGCAGCCAACTCTCAATTTTGGCTCAGGTCATGACCTCAGAGTCATAGGACTCTGGTGGGGAATCTGCTTGAGATTCTCTCTCTCCCTCTCCCTCTGCCCCTTTACTCGCTCTCTCTCTTTCTCTCTCAAAATAAATAAAATATTTAATTTTTAAATTTTTTTATATATTTTTTTTACTGGTGTTCAATTTGCCAACATATAGAATAACACCCAGTGCTCATCCCATCAAGTGCCCGTCACCCAGTCACCCCCATCCCCTGCCCACCTCCCCTTCCACCACCCCTAGTTCATTTCCCAGAGTTAGGAGTCTTTCATGTTCTGTCTCCCTTTCTGATATTTCCCACTCATTTTTTCTCCTTTCCCCTTTATTCCCTTTCACTATTTTTTATATTCCCCAAATGAATGAGACCATATAATGTTTGTCCTTCTCTGATTGACTTACTTCACTCAGCATAATACCCTCCAGGTCCATCCACCTCGAAGCAAATGGTGGGTCTTTGTCGTTTCTAATGGCTGAGTAATATTCCATTGTATACATAGACCACATCTTCTTTATCCATTCATCTTTCGATGGACACCGAGGCTCCTTCCACAGTTTGGCTATTGTGGACATTGCTGCTATAAACATCGGGGTGCAGGTGTCCCGGCGTTTCACTGCATCTGTATCTCTGGGGTAAATCCCCAGCAGTGAAATTGCTGGGTCATTGGGCAGATCTATTTTTAACTCTTTGAGGAACCTCCACACAGTTTTCCAGAGTGGCTGCACCATTTCACATTCCCACCAACAGGGCAAGAGGGTTCCCCTTTCTCCACATCCTCTCCAACATTTGTGGTTTCCTGCCTTGTTAATTTTCCCCATTCTCACTGGTGTGAGGTGGTATCTCATTGTGGTTTTGATCTGTATTTCCCTGATGGCAAGTGATGTGGAGCATTTTCTCATGTGCTTGTTGGCCATGTCTATGTCTTCCTCTGTGAGATTTCTGTTCATGTCTTTTGCCCATTTCATGATTGGATTGTTTGTTTCTTTGCTGTTGAGTTTAATAAGTTCTTTATAGATCTTGGAAACTAGCCCTTTATCTGATATGTCATTTGCAAATATCTTCTCCCATTCTGTAGGTTGTCTTTGAGTTTTGTTGACAGTATCTTTTGTTGTGCAAAAGCTTACTATCTTGATTAAATACATGCACTTGTTTCGCATTGGTTGAGGTCCAGAAAAGAGCGGACAACTGGACATTTCAACCCCTAAAGGGGCAAAAAGGGTTTGCTTTATGATTACTCTCTCTTCTGTGATCTGAACATGGAGGCCACAAGAAAAGACATTTCTATCTCAAATCAAGGACTGTGAAATGTGGCAGTTGAACCTAGAGTATCATTGATCCTCTGTGTCTCCTCATATGCATAGGTTTATCTAACCTCTCAAGGTAGCTAGAAGTATCTCTGCCTTATTGTTATATAAACAAGCTGCACCCAAACATCTGTGATGTAGCCAATAGCACAGCTATTCTGGTCAGTTTGTGGCTGATCAACATTTTCAGCCTGATAGCTTTTTCCTCCCTTAATGTATCCCAGAAAGACCGCTGGTCAGCCTGGAAGGAAAGAAGGAAGGAGGGAAGGAAGGAAGGAAGGAAGGAAGGAAGGAAGGAAGGAAGGAAGGAAAGAAGGAAGGAGAAGGGAGGGAAGAAGGAAGGAAGGAAGGAAGGAAGGAAGGAGAAGGGAGGGAAGAAGGAAGGAAGGAAGGAAGGAGAAGGGAGGGAAGAAGGAAGGAAACAAGGGAGGGTGAAAGGACATCTAAGTTGTTTTCTTGTGATTAGGATTGCACGATGGAGCAGGGTAGAGTGGGCATGTGTATAAAATGGATCTTCCAGTTTGCTAACTCTGTCCACTTCCATTTAATGGATAGTTGAAAAAAACTATGCCCTCATGTCCTTAGTCTTTTTCCTTTCCACTTTGCTCAATAAACCAGACAGGCACAAAGCCCTTCTTGAGCACTTTCTGTGTGCTTGACCCCGTGTCCAGAGCTTGAGGGACTGACAGGTACACATGAGTTGTAAAGGTCTGAGATTTGGAACTTGCATGCCCGAATTAAAATAGCAGTTCTGTCCCCACTCCCTGAGCAACTTTAGCTAAATTATTGAACTTTGAGGGTCTCAGATTTGTAAAGTGGGGATAATATTAGCACTTACCGGATTCCTTGCCAAGATAAAGTGAATAATATCAGGAAAATGCATTGTAAACCGTGTCTGCCCAGGAATTTAGAATCTAGTGAAGGACTAAATGATCACCTAAGGACAAAAGGAACAATACAAAAGTGAAGACAATTAGACGGGAAACTGGACTGTAGGAGTCACATTAGTAATTTGGAATACAGAGTCTAAATGAGCTGGGGTGGTGAGAAAAGTGTCAGTAGAAACAGAGAAATGTAACTGCCAGAAAAAGGAATGTTCTCCTAAATGAGCTGAAAAAAAATAGAAGGATAGTATTCAAATAAAGTAGTTTAGGGTCTTATACTCTATTCCATACTGGAGTAGTAGACTCATTTCTAAATGTCCACTTCAGGAGGGTATATCGCTGAAAGAGAAGAACCAAAAAGCTAATGATATTGCACAGAAATGAGTGGAGAATGGGGATGTTTACTCTAGGGAAGGTGCGTGTGCGGGAGCTAGGGGGATGGATGGGATTTACTAGTAGCTTTCAAAGAGCTGAAGGAATGTCAAATGCAAAAGACTTGGTATGTATACCCTCCGAGGAGATTTGGTAGAAGTTAGTACCTAACAGATGCTGAATAAATATTTATTAATGTACTTACATATTAATTATGTAATATTTACACACTAGTATTTATATGCTAATTATAAAATATTTAGTTCATGAAATTATGGTGAGATAAAGTTACATTCAACAAAAGTTAGACTTTCCTAGCAATTGGGGCTGGGCTAAATATAGACCATTTCCCACAGGACAACAGTCACTAGAGGTGTTGGAGGCTTGTCTGGGTGACCTCCAGGGCTGGAAAGTGGGGATGGGGCATTTCTCAAGAAAACTCAAACATCAGATGATGGGCATTATGGAGTGTGTCACCTTTAAGATCCTTTCTGACTTGGAGACTAAATTAGCCCGTTGGAAACTAGGGAAAACTGGTGCCATCTGAAGAAAGGGGGCAGGGGGTAGTTGTCGCATAACCTTTGGAGAGCGACACAGAAAAAAGTGTGAGAGGGAAAGGATGGAGGGTAGGGGAGGAGATTGCTGAAAGGAGGATGGTAGGGGTCCTTTATCTCTCTGGGCATCAGTCTCTATTATGTGAGAGAGATTGGCCAGGTGACAAAAGCTTCAAAGTGCCAGGAGGATAAAGAGGGTGGGACCTGTTGGTGCTTTGCATACACATGGGCTGCAGCGGTGAGCTCTACATTTGCTGGGTCAGTAAGGATCCCAGAGCAGCCTCAGAATGGACTTTCGGGATGTGGAAGGGTGGGATTTCTCAGGGATCCTACTTACCATTAAATTCAGGCACAATCTGAAACCCTGCGCCTTTTGATGGGGTCATTAAGCCCGTTCACGTTCAGAGTTACTATTGAAAGATATGAGTTTAGTGTCATCATGATATCTATTTAGTCCTTGTTTTTGTGGATTGTTCTACTGGACTTCTTCTTAAAGGGGAATTTTAAGAGTCCCCCTTAAAATTCCTTGCAGAGCTGGTTTGGAGGTCACATATTCTTTCAGTTCCTGCCTGTCTTGGAAGCTCTTTATCTCTCCTTCCATTTTGAATGAGAGCCTTGCTGGATAGAGTATTCTTGGTTGCATGTTCTTCTCATTTAGGACCCTGAATATATCCTGCCAGCCCTTTCTGGCCTGCCACGTCTCTGTGGAGAGGTCTGCTGTTACCCTAATACTCCTCCCCATAAAAGTCAGGGATTTCTTATCTCTAGCTGCTTTAAGGATCTTCTCTTTATCTTTGGAATTTGCAAGCTTAACTATTAAATGTTGAGGTGTTGAACGGTTTTTATTGATTTTAGGGGGGATCTCTCTATTTCCTGGATCTGAATGCCTGTTTCCTTTCCCAGATTAGGAAAGTTTTCAGCTATGATTTGTTCAAATACATATTCTGGCCCTCTGTCCCTTTTGGCGCCCTCGGGAACCCCAATTAAACGTAGGTTTTTCTTCCTCAGGCTGTCACTTATTTCCCTTTATCTATCCTCATGGTCTTTTAATTGTGAAGGGAAGGGAGAAGAAATGGGTAGGAAATATCAGAAAGGGAGATAGAACATAAAGACTCCTAACTCTGGGAAATGAACTGGGGGTGGTGGAAGGGGAGGAGTGCCGGGGGTGGGGGTGAATGGGTGATGGGCACTGAGGGGGGCACTTGACGGGATGAGCACTGGGTGTTATTCTGTATGTTGGCAAATTGAACACCAATAAAAAATAAATTTAGTATTAAAAAAATAAATTCAGGCACAGTTTATCTTATAATGAAGAAGGAGGCATCAGAGTCAGGAGCTGTTGGAGGACATTTGGAGATTTCTCATGTGAGTTCAGGTCCTTTCCATTAGAGGTAAGAGAGAAAGAATGCTTTCTCTCTCAAACCTTGGCTTGCATCAAAAAGGACAGTGTTGGGACACCTGGGTGGCTCAGTGGTTGAGCATCTGCCTTTGGCTTAGGTCATGATCCTGGGGTCCTGGGATCGAGTCCCACATCAGGCTCTTCTCAAGGAGCCTGCTTCTCCCTCTGCCTGTGTCTCTGCCTCTCTCATGAATAAAGAAATAATTAGTCAAAAGAAAGAAAGAAAGAAAGAAAGAAAGAAAGAAAGAAAGAAAGAAAGAAAGAAAAGGACAGTGTCTTCATTCCTTTTGAAAGTGGCATGTTTCATTCTACTAGAAGAGCTTGAGTGAACAGGTATCATTTCCCTAACTTTTAGTACTATTTGCATTTTTTTCATTACAAATCCATGTTCCCCACTTATTTGTTTCTTCATTTTACTTTCCTCTTACAAATTTTCTGTTCATTTCCTTTGCCCGTTTATCCATGGATGTCTCACATTGTTTTTCTCACCAGTGTGACTATCTTCAACCAGGTTTCCAGCCAGCAGCTTGCCTTTCTATTTAGCAGGATAGTAGCTTGTTGGGATAGTTGTAGAGAAGATAACAGTCTCTGGAGCTGAAGTCTCTGGGTCCACTTCCTTGAGCGAGTACAAGTGGCTCACAAGTGGCTAATGTGTAAATGAGAGTAATGCTAGCACCCACATCTAGGATTGCCATGATGAGAAGAGAGCCTGGCACGGTGTGCTCACCAGTGACTGTTATCACTAGGTTTGTTCTTAACGAGAGGCAGTGGATTCTGAGGTGGGCAAAGGAGCAGGATACAGGTTAAACCCCTTGTGCATTTTCTCCCTCCCCAGGTAGTGGCCACCATGTTCCTCCTCATGATTGTATTTGCCATTTTTGACTCCAGAAACTTGGGAGTCCCCAGAGGCCTAGAGCCCATTGCCATCGGTCTCCTGATTATTGTCATTTCTTCTTCCTTGGGACTGAACAGTGGCTGTGCCATGAACCCAGCTCGAGACCTGAGCCCTAGACTTTTCACTGCTTTGGCAGGATGGGGGTTTGAGGTCTTCACGTAAGTAACAGTGGTGTTGGGGGAAGAAAGATCCCTGCTGCGCCTCATGGGGAAGGGCTGGGATTAGACTAGAGAGGTCCCGGAGAGTTCTCTTGGGAGCGTGGAGATCAGGTGCATGCTCTGGTCATCAGTGTGGATTGTTTCACTGGCAGTTTGTGATATGGGGTGTGGTGGGGGGAGGGGAGTGGGGAAAAACACACATGGACACAGGGAGAGAGACAGAGTAAATGGGTAAATTCAAAAGCAACAGGCTTACCCTGTATAATAATAATAATAATAATATGTCCTCAGGTGGTAGATGGTTTTATGTGAGTATTTTGGTCGTATAACTCATCAGCAGATTCACTTTGTGATACAATTGGGCCTAGAATTTACATCTTGTGATACTACTACAGGGCTCTTGATAGTGAACCATGCTATGCTTCCCTCATTCAGCAGGTCTTTACCAAACACTGTCTGTGCTGTGGTCACTGTGCTATGTAAGGAGATTTCAAAATCAGCTAAAACACTAGCCTTGAGCAATAATAAGTGCCTTGGCAACCCCAAAAACAAAGTGCTGAGTGAACATAGATAAGAGGATGACTAACTCTGCCTGGGAAATTGGGAAAGGCACCACCAAAGAAGTGAGAGCTGAGTTGGGTCATGAGTAGGAAATCCCTGGCAGAAAAGACATAAAAGAGAGCTCTTGCACAGGAAATGGCAAGACCTCATGCTTTCTACCTCAGAATGTGCTGGGTCAGTAAGGAGCCCAACTCCTTGGGGTTGAGGCAAGTTGAGGAAATACGTCAACTGTTGGCAACTGTTCCAAAACAAACTGTGCCCATTTAATTCCTTCCCACTTTTGCCCCATACAACCACAGTGGTCTGTCCTCATCTACTTATCACATCTCTCTATGGGAAAGGAACTCACTTTGGTTCATCAAGGAACAGGGCTCTAACATGGAGAAAGAGAAGTAGGAAAGACACGTGTGAGGAAATTTTAGTTTGATATTTGCTGTGAGGAAAGACTTGAGTGTCCCTAAATGCTTACCTGTACATGTAATCATACACATGTGATGGCTCATTTCACTGAAAGTTTGGGTTGCCTTCACCAGTGTAAAAAATTAACTGTTAAAAAAAAATTAACTGTTGAAATAACTGACACCAGTCAGGTCACCAACACAGATAGGTCTGAGAGCTACCACAATGTAAGCATCCTGAGGTCAGAGACCTAGCAGCTTCCTCACCGCTGCACTCATAGTGACAAGATTAGGGCCTGGCATATACAGAGTCTCAAGAGAAGTCAGTAAAAAGAATGAAAGGATGGGAAATACTACATGTTAAACATGTCCTAAGAGATGAGGGATACAAAGAAAACCAAGCAACATCCCCTATCTTTAAGAAGTTAATAATGCAATGAATTTTCTAGAGCAGTGGTTCTCAACCAGAGGTGATTTTTTTCCACTCAAAATATTGGGCAACGCCTAGAGACATTTTTGGCTATCACAACAGGGGAAAGTGGAGATGAAAGTTGTCACCGGCATCTAGTGAGTTACAGGCCTGGGATAGTGCCAACCATCCTACAGTACCCGTACAGATCCCCACAACAAAGAATTATTCAGCCAAAAATATTAAGAGTGCCACAGGTGAGGAGCTCTTGTTCCAGAATGATTGCCACTAGAACATGAAAAGGTTGAACAAAATGTCCCTAACTAGGAAGGTTCTTTTATATTCTTCCAATGTAAAATGAAAAACATATGTCAGAAAGATTCCCAGAACCCAGAGCCCAGAATTAATCTGAGTTTCATTAATCCCACCTTCCTGAGCCTCACTCTAGAAGACCACTGCCCCCCAAACCAAGTCACCTCTGTTGGCTTCACACGGACCCCTGGAACAAAGAGGGCTTGAAGGCCACCCTTTGAGCCCTGTTTCATGACTCACCCAAAGCTCTAAGAGTGGGGATGGTTCTAAAATAGGTAGAAGTCTTGCCTATTCTCTCTTGGCTTTGTCAAGTATATGGTAGGAGATCATGTCTGTGGCAAAAATGCTAGAATCATCCACGGCCAAATGAGCTCCATGTCCCTCCATGTCAGGGTCTTTTCTTTTCATGCATTGGTTTATTCATCCCTGCAGCAACCTGATCTATTCAAGGCCCTGTGCTAGAGATGAAACCCTGCTGCCCTTCTGCTTCCTTTGCGCTCTGTTTCAGAGGGATCAGCATAAGCGCTTACACAAATTGAAGCTGTCAAGTGCCATTAGAGAGATTTGACTTGTTGACTCTAGGACTTGAGAGGTTAACAGCTCCAAATTTAGGAATTATGGAGGTAGAAATAGAGGCATTTTATAGTATTTGGACATCTTGAATGGGGGACAGTGAGGATATTTCAGGTAGAGAGGATACTGTATACAAAGACAGAATGTTAAAATAACTAAGTGATCTAATCTAGCTGGAAGGGTACATGAGGAAGGCTGGAAAGGACAAATCTTGTCAGGTCACGGAGGCTCTAGACTCCCAGAATGAAAAATTTGGATTTGGGCCACTCTTTATTCTGGAGATTATGGGAAGCAGCAAAGGATGTAGAGCAGAAGTTTGACATACTTAGAACTCCAATTTAGTTAAATTAAAACGACATCACTATACACAATAGATTAAAAAGGAGAGAGTAGGGCAGCCCTGGTGGCGTAGCGGTTTAGCGCCACCTGAAGCCCAGGGCGTGATCCAGGAGACCTGGGATCGAGTCCCACGTCGGGCTCTCTGCATGATGCCTGCTTCTCCCTCTGCCTGTGTCTCTGCCTCTCTCTCTAGCTGTGTCCCTATGAATAAATAAATAAAATCTTTTTTTTTTAAAAAAAGGAGAGAGTAGAGGAGCAAAAGCCAGTTAGAAAAGAGCTAGCTGGCTGGTAATCTTCAAAAATTCCCAAGAAAACCTTTGAGGGATAGCAGATCTCCAGAGAGTTCCAATCATCCCTCCCTTTCAAGGTCTCCTATCCCTGGTAAGCATCTCAGGAGATATCCTAGCTTGGATCTACACCCAAGGCCTCTGATAAAACCAAGACTGCCTAATTCTCTGGTCCTCACTTGCTTCTGTCTGGCAGGCAATGAGGATGACTGGGGACAGGCCTGGGATGCAGAGGGTCTGTCTGACAAGGACAAGTCAACAGACCATGGCTAACCCTTGCTTTTCCCGTAAATATTAGGATGTTTTCCATCTACTCTCTCCCCACTAATTCACATTAAGGTTTTAATGACTTCATGGATGAAAGATCTCAGGGGTATCATTAATATTTTAAATAGTTTACCCAAAGGAATAAATGATGGTGGTACATAAGTGAGTAACATGGACATTTCCCTGGCGCAACCCACATCACCACATGCATATGACACTGAGGACATGGAAGCCTGACCAGGCAGGAAACCATGTGCGAGGGCCTCCACTTATGACTTGTGACCCTGGCACAACATGCTCAGCCCAGACAGAAGAAAGTCCAGCCAGTTAATGGAGGACATGTGTCTTGGCAGATACTTGGGACCCTAATCTGTTAAAGGACAGTGGGATTCGCCAGGAAATCATGATGAAAGAAAGGAAATGACAAGTGAGACAGCTTATACTTGCTTCATGTGTTTACCAAAGAGAAGGCTCCTAGCTCTTTAAAGTCCATGTACCTCTCATAGGAAAGTCCTCCTGGATTCCTGGGGGCTTGGGAAAGGGCCCTGGGAGAGCAGAGAAGTGCTCAAGTCCTCTCTCTTGTGCAGTAAGGGCGACATCTGGTGGCTACTGTGCTCAACCTCAGGGCTCTTCCCTCCAGCCTGCATTCCTGATCCAAGATTTCTGGGTGCTAGGGACGATCCAGGTAGAAGGGATCACCAAGCAGAAGGAAGAATGGAGGTCAAGGGCAGGGCTTATTTCCTTTAATATCCTTTCTAATCCAAATGTAATACTGTAATACAAACAAAAGGCCACCTGGAACATATATGTGTTATTAAGCAGAATGAAAAAAGGAACAACCATGAGCCTTTCCCCAACTGTGAAGTCCTCAAGTGTATGTGAGAGCTCCTGCCCTTTCCCCGCCGCCTCCTCCCCATTATCCTCAACATTGGCATTTCTCATTTTCTGCTTTAAAACAGTTTTATCTGAAATGTATAAATCCATGAATAATGTTATAGGATTATTGTATAATGTGGCTTGTTTCTGAACCTTGTGTTCCTTCCTATGGAGTTATTTTAATGGATTTCCTATCTTCAAAGAAGATGGTGACAATTTATAAAGGTACCTGCTTTCTCTCAGAGCTATACTTTTAGTATAATGTATTGTCATTGAGGACTTCTGCAAAAGACAGAGAATCATGGCAGGAAGCCCTTTATCAGAAAGTAGCTTTAAGCTGTGACCTTAGAAAATCAGCATGAAATTAAATTATATTTAGTAGGTAATTCATATATCAACCTTCCATTTTTTAAATTCACTCATTGACAAACATTTCCTGATTGGTTTGTTCTGGTTTGTGTGTGTGTGTGTGTGTGTGTGTGTGTGTGTTTTGTGTGTGTGATTGCCCTCATAGACCAGCCCTGCCCAGGAACCTCTCCACATCCTTCCATTAGTAATCCCCAGGATTCATCATTTCAGAATGGAGGAAAGACAGTTCCTGAATAATCAACCAGCACTGTCCCTAGATGCCTCCAGTTCTGACAGTGGGTTCAGGGACTCTCTTTCCTGAAAGAAAAATAAATGGGACATATTATCTCACGGGTACTAATAGGACAATGGAATCAATCATTTGAAATCAGGTATATGGAAAATCTAGGATGATGATTGCCAAACTGCAGTGAGTATCCTTATACTTAGCTCTTGCTGAGTTAAATGGAAACCATGAGCAGGAGAAAGACTGGCTTGTTAGTGAATAACTAGTAAGGCCAGGAGGAAGATCCAAATGGTGTATCACTAATTTCTTGTTTGATTTCAGAGCTGGAAATAACTTCTGGTGGATTCCTGTAGTGGGCCCTTTGGTTGGCGCTGTCATTGGAGGCCTCATCTATGTTCTTGTCATTGAAATCCACCACCCAAATCCTGATCCAGACTTCGAGACGGAATCTGAGGACAAACCAGATAAATATGAGCTTAGTGTGATAATGTAGTAGTGTGCTTAGTTTGGGTTTACAATTGTCTGAACTAGTGTTCTCTTCAGAAAAGATGGCATCCAGGGGTCTGTGTTTTCATAAGACTAGAATGGAATCCACCCAATCTTCTCTGCTAGCCATGTGAGGCACCTAATTGTAAAAGCATTCAAGTGAAAGTTTGCAAATGCTGACCTCTTCACCAGTTTCCCACAGGACACCACTCACTGTCCCCTGAAATGGCCTTATCTCCTGCTCGGTTTGTTTCATCCTTTGATGGGAATCCTTGTTACTAGGCAAGCACTGGTAACTTAGAACCTTGACCATGGACTTATTTGCATGATCTTAGCTGCATTACCTGTACAGAATAGCATTACAAAAGCTTTGTTTTTCCACAAAGATTATGTTTTGAGTATCAACCAAGACTAAATTGGAAGGCAACACAGTGATTTCAGTTAATATGTCCATGAATTAGGGAGCTAATGAGTTTACTCTGTAGTTATGTTGTGCCACTATATTTGTATAAATACCGGTATTCTTCAAACCTAGGGATATAGGAAACAGTAGAATACATCTGGAAAGCACAGGGGAAGGACATTGTGCCATTCAGAAGCCTCAGGAGACAAGATAAATTTGGGAAACCAAATGGAATTTTTTAATGGAAACCATTTATCAGATAAATCTCTTGCTCTTTGCATTTTAGAGGGCACCAATTAATTTTCTTGTCTTTAGCATATAATAACCTAAAATACAACTGTAACCTCAGTCATGAAAATTACATCACCCTATATTTTTAACTACAATGTATTTTCCTAATTGTCCACTTGAGGAGAGACATTTGACAAGTTGAGCCAATGGCTGCATTCATCCATTATTCTACACATGCCCCGAAACCAAAACTGGAAGCCATTGGATGCTGGTCTAGTGGAATCTTCAGGATAGACGGTCCTCGGAAAGATAATGTTACCTTTTGGGCTTACAATTCACAAAACACTTTCAAGGTTATTATCTAATTTAATCCTCGTAGTGACTTTCTGAAGTAAATGCCATGCTGCCCATTTTTTCAGATATGGAAACAAAATCTCAGGGAAGTTAAGTGAGTTGCCTAAGGTCACATGGAAAGTTGAACCTCATCTAATGCATCCCACACCTTTCAGAAGATCAATAACTGGCCAAGAATCTCACCTAGCCCTCTTTGGCTGTCCAGAAGACATGGGATTGGCAGCTGCCAGAATGTGTACTCCTTCTGGATGTAATGGTCCTGGGATCCTAAAATATAAAGACCTTCATCATATGGTTTTATTCCCTCTGTTACTGAAACACTAACAAAAGGAAGAGGTAGCAATTTGGTCATATTTTTCATGTGTTGGAAAACATTATCAGAAGGCCTCCCTTCCTAGTCCACCCTTGCTCTTTCTAAGTCTCACTCACCCCTCCTTCCCTGCGAATCACAAACATTACGTTTGGGGGATTTCCCCCTGGTCAGGCTCTTCCCTGTGAAGTTCCCTAATTGATGTCACTTTGGTGACAAGTCTCTGAGAGTTACAGGCACCAGAGAAATTGCTCTACATCAAGCGATGCACCTTCAGTCAAAGCATTTAGAAGCCCAGCATTCCCAGAGGTATCGAGGTTCCCAATTGCTTTGTGATCATAACAGAACAGAAAGTAAATGTGAAATGTCTCCAGTGGCCTATGTTCTATAAGCTAACAACTTGGAGTTTTTTTTCTTGCTCTGAAACTACCTGGATATTTCCTATTTGAAATAAAATTGGTGGCTCTTTTTTAAATTTTTTTTAAGTTTTTATGAGTATTATGACCGCTAAATATGCATGTTTATCCTGTCTACAAATTGAGATTTCCTGGGGAGCTTTTAAAAAATTCTCATGCCCAGTTAATCATTTGTAAATACTGCAGTGATTCAAATGTGCGACTGGGGTTGAGAACACTGACTTGGTTAAATTATATCTAAGATTTCTTTGAGAACCACATCTGGTGGTGGCCAAGTGATTTCTGGGAGGATTCTCAGGATTTGATAGCAATGGTTCCCAATAGGGGGCAACTTTACCCCCTTCTCACTCCATTCTGCTGCTCCCGCAAAGGGATATTTGGCAGTGTCTGGAGAGATTTCTGGTTGTCACAATTGGGACAGGAGAGTTGTTAGCATCCAGGGAGAAGTCAGGACGCTGCTGAACATCCTACAAAGAACAGGACAGCCCTCGATGCCAGCCTCCACAATAAAGAATTATTCAGCCCAAAATGGCAATTAGGCAGAAGTTGAAAGATTCTGAATTTGAGAACAGGTAGGGGGAGGAATAAGAGAAGACACTGAAACTCTGTGTCCTGAATCAAGTTCTGCAAAAACAGAAATGCCAGACAGTTATAATTATTAGAGGAAGAGGCAACCTAAAATTTGAGTTTTCAGGTTGGATTGTGAAATCCATGATCCATGCAGGTGCTCATTAAACACTAACTGGTGATTAATGACTGGGATCATGAAGAGGAAATGCACACTTATGGAAATCAACCACAGGAAGGCTTTTTTTTTTTAAATGGAAAAAAAGGTACTCTTGTTTGAGGTGCTCACATTCAAATTCTTCCTCTCACCCAGTTTATAAGTGGGTCTTACCTCTGGCTGGTTCTTTTGCCAGAGGATGTCTTTATGGTTGAATGATCTGTATTGGAAGTCAATTAGAGTCAAATAACCTATTTTTAAAAATAGATCTTTTAGAAGCTGGAATTGTAACATCCTCCCCTCCTCTCTTCCTTGTCAATCAGAAAACTTAATAGAAGCATTTATTTTAATGTCCAGAACAGAATTTCCCTATGATTCCTGCACTCTGTTAAGATCTCAAAGCCTGTCAAATGTTGTAGAACTTTTCTAACCAGTAGAAACCAGAGTTAATACTCAGCTATTGAAGAGGTTAAGTGAAGTAGAAATGTCACATTTAAAAGTCTGATCCTTAAAATATAAATTATTGTTTCCTTTAAATTGCTTACACACATACACACAAACATACACACACACGTCTTATATAAAAACACTTCAGTGCTCAAAAATATCATCATGGAAAAGGATTTACAACTTCCAGTTAAAAAGAATGGTTTACAAGTTTTATTTAGCCATGGAACCTATTGTTCAAATAAGATCTTATGTGGTAACCACTAGTAAACCAAAGCTGCTATTAATAGAAAGAGAGTGGGGAAGCGGGTAGGAGTCACCCTGCCTGTGATACCCTCATCTGCCCCCAGCCCAATGCTGAGGGGTCTCTGCAAAGAAACTGTATGTGTGCATGTGTTGGGAGGGGGATCTTTAGAACACAATTTGAAAATCATTGATAAAGGACTTGGGACAAGTTCTTGATGAACATTTTTGTAAAAGCATGAGATTCAAGGGCAAAACCTACCTAAGGTCATAGTACTCCAATCTCAGGTAATTTTCCAAAGACTTCTTAATAAATTAATTAGATAGGCTGAAGCAGAACTACTTAACCCACCAAACATCATCCACAAAGGGATGTTGTATATCAATTCGCAAACTGGGAATTTAAGTTCTCTAAGATGACATGTTTAACTAATCACAGCAAATGGAGAGAAACAATGTTAGTCCTGGGTTAGTTACTGGGTTAACTAAGTCTCTATAAAAATAAATAGATAGATAGATAGATAGATAGATAGATAGATAGATAGATAGATAGATAAAAGATGATAAATAGGTAGATAGGTAGGTAGGTGGATGGACTGATCCACCAAGCTCCAACCTCTTACTTGCTCCTAGAAATGGACTAGCTCTTACCCAGAGAAGTCGTCTCTGTATTAAGGAAAGAACGGCCTCTACATGAACTGAACATGAATAAATGAACTTAATGAGCTGAGAGAAAACCCAGGGAAATGTGTGTGGATAGAGATGCTGCCCAAGCACAGTTTGACTCTGTCTCCTTCCAGATGTGTTATTTGTGGACTTTAGACATTTATGCCTTTGTGGGCCCCTTCCCTTGCAGAATTTTTAAAAATAAATCATGTTTTATGATTGTACTGGTAGCAGGCTGATTATAGATTACATACATATTTTTCTGTTTTGTTTTGGTTTTGTTTTTAAATTTTACTTATTTGAAAGAGGGCAGGGGGTAGGGATAGAGGGAGAAGCAAGCTCCCCACTGAGCAGGGAGCCCAGTGCAGGACTTGATCCCAGGACCCTGAGATCATGACCTAAGCCAAAGGCAGATGCTTAACTGACTGAGACATTACTGAGACACCAGTGGTTCATATGATGTTTTTTTTTTTTAATATGATGCTAGAGAACGTTAAAACATTTTCATGGGTTCTAGACATCATGCTCAATGAGTAAATAGGCCCTGCCTCCTACTTCCTCCCTCTAGCATGCCCCTCTGGTGTCCAAGCACCCAGTTACAATGCAGCCTCTTCCTGTGGCTCTCAACTGCCTGCCCATAGGTTCTCAGATAATAGGTGGAAGGGCAGACTGAGCCCAGGAATAAAGGGATAAAGACAGAGAGAGCCTTGAGAGTGCTAGAGGTTGTGAGGGATACTCCGGAGGCCAGTCCTACAGCCATGGGAATCATACACATCTTGATCCTTCCCTCTCCATCACAAACACTAAGTAAGAAAGGGGCTTCTCGACCCAAGAAGGAAGCAGGGAAGTCTTAGGGCTTAGACACCATAAGCTCCAGAGGTGCTATAGTATGTTATTAACATGTAATTCTAGTTTATTGTCTTACAGTTTGTAAAACGTGTTCACACTCAGTATCCTGTTAAGACTCTCAGAACAGCTGGACAAGTAGATTATTATACTCATTTAAAGATGAGGAAACTGAGGCTCAGAGGTCTAAATGATTTGCACCAAGTTCCAGAATGAAAGAGTGGCAGAAGTGGAATGCAAATCCCATGGAGTAGAGTGACCACTGCTGTTTTATTCACTACTGTCCTAGTGCCTGGAACATGGCAGCTGCTCAAGAAATATTAATTGGATGAATGAAAGAATGGATTATGGAATCAGACTCCCTAGGTTCAAATCCTGGCTCCTCAGAATTTTAGTTTTAGTACAGTAGCCAGATTACTTAGTTTTAGTTTACTTATCTATTAAGTAGGTATAATAATAGTGAGATAACCAATGTAAAGCTTGTAGAACAATTCCATGCTGTGGTATATATTCAATAAATATGAACTGGTGCTGCTATAGCAGCAGCCATTTTTAGGAATGTTATTACAATATATTGTAGTTTGAAAATATGGAGTAAGGAAATCAGAATTTGGTTAGAAACTCCTCTCTTACACTCTATAATGTAATAATTCTTGGTCACATGTATCTTCTGGAGCTTTAGAATGGAATCAAATACAAGTTGTTATCAACTTACATAGACTGTTCAGGATAATTTGTTATGTGTAAGCCTCATGGTAACCACAAAGAAAAAACCTAGAGTGAAAACACAAATGATAAAAAGAATATAAGAAGGAAAGAAAGAAAACTATCAAACCACAAAGGAAGAAGAGAAGAAGAGAGGAACTATAAAACAGCTAATAAACAATTAACAATATGGCAACAAGTACATACCTATCAACAATTACTTTAAGTATAAAAAGGACTAAATTCTCCACTAAATGAAATAGAGTGGCTGAATGGATTAAAAACAAAAAACGAAAACAAGACCCATCCATATGCTGCCTATAAGTGACTCACTTTAGAAGTAGGAACACACAGAGATGGAAAGTGAAGGAAGATATCGCATGCAAGTGGAAACCAAGAGAAAGCTAGAGTAGACATACTCATGTCAGACAAAATAGACAGTAAAACAAAAACTTTGATATTAGACAAGGATGGATGTTACATAATAATAAAAAGGTCAATCCAACAAAATGACATAATATTTATAAATATTTATGCACCCAATTTTGGAGCACCTAAATATATAAAGCAAATATTTTTTTGAAGCAAATATTAACAGACTTTAAGGGAGAAATAGACACAAATACAATAACAGGCAATTTTAATACCCCACTTTCACCAATGGATATATCATCTAGACAGAAAATCAATAATGAAACTTTGGCCTTAAACAACACATTCTACCAGATGTAGTTAAAAGATAGACACAGACCATTCCAACCAAAAGCAATGAATATACATTCTTCTCAAGGGCATATGGAAGATTTTCCAGGATAGATCATATAGTAGGCCACAAAATAAGTCTTAAATTTAGGAGGTTTGAAATCATGTCAAGCATCTTCTGATCCCAATGGTATGAAACTAGAAATTAATTACATGAAGAAAACTGGAAAATGCACAATTATGTGAAGATTAAACAACATATTAACAACCAGTGGGACAAAGAAGAAATCAAAACAGAAATCAAAAAATACCTGAGTTAAATGAAAATGGAAATAGACCAAAAGTTGTGGGATACAACAAAAGCAATTCTAAAAGGGATGTTTATAGCCTAAAATGTATACATGAATGAAAAGAAACTTGAAGAGCCAAAACAAATGAAAAAAGAAACAAAGTGGGAGGACTTACACTATCTAATTTCAGCCCTTTCTATAAAAGCCATGGACGGTATGCTATTAACATAAGGAGGGGCAAATAGATTAATGAAACAAAATAGAAAATACAGACTTTGATCCACATTCATGCAGAAAATTGATTTTCAATAAAGGAACCCGTGTAATCCTACAGAGAAAGGACACAGGTTTCAAAAAATGGTAATGAATAACTAGAAAAGAGGAAACCTTGACTCCTACCTCATAGTAACATAATACACAAAAATTAATTCAAGATGTATCATTGGCTTCAGCATAAAAGCTAAAACTATAAAGCTTCTGGAGAAAAACATGGGAAGATATATTTACAACTAGGATTGGGAAAGATCTAGTAAAAGGATATAAAACAATAAAAATAGATTAATTGGACTTCTGCAAAATTTAAAACCTCCACCCATTAAAAGACATCATTAAGAAAATGAATGTGCAGGGCACCTGGGTGGCTCAGTCAGTTAAATGTCTGCCTTTGGCTCAGGTCATGATGCCAGAGTCCTGGGATCGAACCCTGTGTTGGGCTCCCTGCTGAGCTCCCTGCTCCTCTTGCTTGTTCTCTCTCTCTCTCTCTCAAATAAATAAAAGTCTTTAAAAAAAAAAAAGAGGAAATGAATGTGCATGGCACAGACTGGGAAAAATATATTTGTAACACCTATTAACTAACAGAATATCTAAATATCTTCAACCCAATAAAGAAGACAAACAGATCAATTTTTTAAACAAGCCAAGGACTTAAGTAGACACTTTATTAAGGAATATATATGAATGGCCAATAAGAATATCAGTGAAGTTCAAATTAAAACCACTATATAATGTTACAGGCACTAGAATGGTTAATTCCAAAATGCACTGGACAGCAGTAAATAACAGTAGCTGAACTCATATATTATCAGGGGAAGTGCAAAGTGGTACTACTTTATAAAAGTGTTTTTTATTAAGTTAAACATATATATATCCCTTAACTGCATTTCACTCTAGTATTTACCCAAGTGAAACAGAAAATATGTTCACCAAAATACCTTATATAAGAATGTTAAGAATGTTCATAGCATCTTTGTTCATTATAGCCCTAATCTGGGAAAAATCCAAATGTCCATCAACAGGAAAATGGATATATAATTTGTGCTATATTCTTACAATGAAACATTAATCAGCAATAAAAAATAACAGGCTATTAATACATGCTACATCTTGGATAAATCTTTAAAACATGCAGAGTAAAAAAAATCAGACATAAAAAATACATTTGCTTCCATTTTTACAGAGCTTAAAGACAGGAAAAAGAAATCAGAGTAGTAGCGGCTCAGAGGTGGAGAGCAATATTGGTTGTAAAAGTGCTAGAGGAAGTTTCCTGAAAATACGGAAGTTTTAAATTTTTTGATTGGGTGAGAGGTCAAAACTCATCAAACCTTACACTTAAAAATCTGTGTAGTTGGGATCCCTGGGTGGCGCAGCGGTTTGGCACCTGCCTTTGGCCCAGGGCGCGATCCTGGAGACCCAGGATCGAATCCCATGTCGGGCTCCCGGTGCATGGAGCCTGCTTCTCCCTCTGCCTGTGTCTCTGCCTCTCTCTCTCTCTCTCTGTATGACTATCGTAAATAAATAAAAAAAATTTTTTTAAAAATCTGTGTAGTTAACTGTGTGTAAATAATACAAGAAATCTCCAAAAATATTAACAACTGATTTATCATTAGAAACTATAGAGGCCATAAATGGGATAGTAAATGTGGGATAGTAAATTCAAAGTAATAAAAGAAAAAGACAGTCAACCAAGAATTCTATGTCCAGCAACTATTTTTAGAATGAAGGAAAAGTAAAGACTTACCCAGATAAACAAAAACTGAGAGAGTTTGCCACTAGAAGATCTGCACTACTTGAAATGCTAAAGGAAATCTTTCAGGGTGAAATTAAAGATCATTAGACAGTAACCAAATTGACATGAAGAAATAGACTGGTAAAGGTGACAATGTAGGTAAATATAAAAGGCAGTATACATGTGTTATTGTTTGTAAATTTTTTTCCCTGTGATCTATTTTATTTTATTCTTTTAAATATTAATCCATTTTTTTAGAGAGAGAGAGAGCACAGGCAAGGGGAGGGCAGAAGGAGACAGAGAATCTCCAGTAGACTCTTCACTGATCAGGGAGCCCAATGTGGGGCTCAATCTTACAATCCTGAGATCATGACCTGAGCCAAAATCAAGAGTTGGCCACTTAACCGACTGAGCCACCCAGATGCCCCTCCCATTGTCTATTTTAAAACATAACTGTATAACATAATAGTTACAAGGGTCTGTTGACAGCTTTATAATATATAAGTATGTAATTTGTATGATGATAGTAGTATGAAATGGGAAGGTAACGAAGCTATATAGGAGCTAAGTTTTTTACAATATTGAAGTCAAGTGGGTATTTATCAGAAGTAGGTTGTTACAAATTAATAAATTTATTGTAATTTTGAAGGCAAACACTAAGAAAATAACTCAAAAAATAGTAAAAGAAACAAGATAATTAAAATGGTGAACTAGAAAATATGTTTAACACATAAGAAGGCAGCAATGGAGGAATAAAAGAACATAAATGACATTAAACGTATAGAAAACAAATAATAAAATAGCAGATGTAAATTCTACCTTATTAGTAATTACACTAGTGTAAATAGAGTGAGTACACTAAATGTAAATGGAGTGAGTGAGATGTGAGAAGATGAAGATTGGCAGAATTAATTAAAAAACATCATCTAGTCATATGTCTACCGAAGGCACACTTTAGATTGAAAACCAGATAGGTTGAAAGTAAAACAATGGAAAAAGATACACACCATGCCAACAGTAATCAAGAGAATGTCTATACTAATATCAGAAAATAGGTTTTAATTAAAAAGTGTTACTAGAGACAGAACATTTAAAAATGATAAAAGTTTCCATCTATCAAGAAGACATAAGAAGTATAAACATACATGGTCTTAAATATAGAGCTCCAAAATACTTGAAGCAAAAACTTAGGGAATTGAAGAAAGAAATAGACAATTCAACAATAATTGTTACATATACCAATACCTCACATTTAATAATGGAAGGAACAACTAGACAGATCAACACGGAAATAAAAATCTGGAACAACACTATAAACCAGATAGACCTAACAGATATCTATCTATAGACACTCCTTCAAACAACAGAATATGCATTCTCCTCAAGTGCACATGAAACATTCTTCAGGACAGACCATAGGTAAGCCAGTAAGTTGCAATAAATTTAAGGGATTGAAGTCACACAAAATATGTTCTCTGACCATAATAAAATGAAATTAAAAATCATTAACTAGGAAATTTGAGAAACTCACTAATACATGTAAATTAAACAGCACACTATTTTTTTTTAAACAGCCCACTATTAAATAATCAACGGGTCAAAGAAGAAATCATAAAGGAGATTAGAAAATACATTGAGGTGAATGAAAATGAAAATACAACATTTGGAAATTTACGGGATGCAGCGAAAGCAGTGCTCAGAGGAAGATTTATAGCTATAAATGTGTACATTAAAAGAGAAAGATCTGGGATGCCTGGGTGGCTCAGCAGTTAAAGCGCCTTCCTTCGGCTCAGGGTGTGATCCTGGAGTCCTGGGATCGAGTTCCACGTCGGGCTCCCTGCATAGAGCCTGCTTCTCCCCCTGCCTGTGTCTCTGCCTCTCTCTCTCTCTCTCTCTCTCTCTCTCTCTGAGTCTCTCATGAATAAATAAAATCTTAAAAAAAGAGAGAGAGAAATCTCCAATCTACAACCTAATCTTCTACCTTAAGACACTGAAAAAGAAAATCAGGTTGAACTCAGAGCAATGTTAACTACATCGGAATAAAAAAAAAAATCCTAAGAGTAAGCAAAAGGAATGAAATAATAAGGATTAGAGTAAAAGTTAATGAAATAGGAAATAGAAAAATACTAGAGAAAATTAACAAAATAAGTCAGTAAGAGAAAGACAAATATCATATGATTTCACCCATATGTGGAACTTAACAAACAAAACAGATAAGTATAGCAGAAGGGAAGGAAAAATCAAATAAGATAAAAACAGAGAGGGGCAAACCATAAGAGATTCTATAGTTAACAGAACAAACGAGGTTACTGGAGTGGGGTGGGTGGGGGTCTAGGCTAAATGAGTGATAGGCATTAAGGAGGGCACCTGTTGGGATGAGCATTGGGTGTTATACGTAAGTGATGAATCCCTAAAGTCTGCTCCTGAAACCAATACTATACCTTATGTTAACTAACATAAATTTAAGTTAAAAAATTCAAAAGGAATGAAGTACTGATACATGCTACAACGTGGATAAATCTTGAAGACAGTTTGCTAAGTGAGAGAAACCAGACACAAAAGGCCACGTATAGTATGGTTCTTTGTATACAAAATGTTCAGAACAGGCAAATCTACAGAGTCAGGCAGTAGATTTTCAGTCTCTGGTTGCCATGGTTCACAGGAAGAGGAATTGGGGAGTGACTGCTGGTAGTTACCAGACTCCTTTTGGAAGGCGCTGAAAATCTTCTGGGATTTGATGCACAACTCTGTGAATAGTCTAAAACCACTGAATCATACACCTTAACAGTGAACTTTATAGCATGCAAGTCATTTCTCAAAGAAAAATAATGTTAAGACCATTTAGATTATTTTATTTTTATTTTATTTTTAATTTTTTTAGTAAGCTCTACACCCAACATGAGACTTGAAATCGCAACCCCAAGATCAAGAGTCACATGTTCTATGGACTGAGCCAGCCAGGCACCCCTGCCATGACCTTTTAAGAACAACTTGGGAGCATTTAGTTTTAATAGATATTTGTATGCCTATGACCCACAGTCTCATTCCTGTGCATATACCTCTGATAATCAGATTCATAGGGACATATGCATGGGGATGTTCACTGTGTTTTTGACAGCAGGATGTCAAATAATCGAAATAATTACTTGAAATAATCTAAAAGTGTACGACTAGGGAAATAGATAAATGAAATGTGGTGGATGTATGTTATCAACCACCATGCAGCAGTTTGCAGCAATGAACCAGATGGACATCTCACACTCTAAATAAATCATAGAAATAGTGTTGAGTTCAAAAATAAAAAGTAAAAAACAGAACAAGACCCATAGCAAGTGCCATTTATGTCAAATAAAAATACATAAATACAATATATTCTTCAATGATGCATGCGAATGCAAAAATATAGCATCTTAGAATGGCTGCCAGTGGCAAGAGTGAGAACTGGGAATAAAGACTCAAGATGAAGGAGGAAAATAATAAAATAAAATAGAAGCAGAGCCAAGGACATGCAAATGTTGACGATGTGCCATGAATGAGAAGCATAAATAACAACTCTCTGCCCTTGAGGTCTAAGGAGAGAAAGAGAAGAGGAGGACAAGAAGGAAGGATGAAGTGGGGAGAGGAGGGCAGAGAGACGCTAGCTCAGATACACTCCAAAATATTAAGAGATGTTATCTCTGGGAGGTGACATCATTTCTCTACTCTTAAAAAAAAAAAGGAAGGGGGTATTTTTTTTTCTTTTATAAGGTTAAGAAATGGTAAAAGTCTTAGATGGCTTTTGAGTGACATTGAAGGGCACCTTGATGCTACAAACAGCCAAAGGATTATAACCAGTACCATTCCCTTACGTCGTTAAAATGTATTAAAAATGACTGCCCTGTGAAGTGTAACCCATCACTGCCTCTCTCCACTCTTATCAGCTCTGTTCTAACATAAAATTGACATTTTGAGCACTCAGAGAGTCACCAGTGACCTGGATCGTACTCAGCGGTAGTCAAACATTGTCATCCTGTGGAAAGAAAGGCATTCGATAGGTTTATGTCTAGTCTTACAATAAGACCATGTTTCAAAAGTCTCAGAAGTCGCTGAGAGGGGGCTCTCCAGGACTTAATTCAAAACCTGCTGGCAGAACTGGATGGGATAAACAAGTGTCAGGAATGGCAGAAATTCTCTTGGAGCACATCTTAGTAGCTCACTTAGCTCTCTGCTGGGGTCCACCGATCACTACTCCCAGACTCAACTCAGATTGAAGATCTGATACCATCAGTTTTAGGGGGGTCCAGATAAGGAACCCTGGATTTTGTGCTTTCTAGTATCTCACTACGTCAGCTTCGTGCCCAGTTCTATGACTTGGTACCCAGGTCCTTGCTACTATAATTCTATTTCATTTCTCCCTCTGGTACTCCAGTTCCCCTTGCTTCTCCAAGTCCTGCTCCCTAACCCTCAGTCTCATGACTTCTTAGTGGTGACTGGCTTTCTACCTCACCCTCGCAGAGCTGAATAACTTTCAGGTCTGGTTCAACCCACTCCTGGGTTCACAGACCTATAACAGGATGACAGACCTATACAAAAGATGGCAGGAGCAAGTGTGGCCCCAATGGGTCTCTGTTTGATGGAAGTTGGAGCCCCAAGTGAGTTGAGCCATGTGAAACATGCTAGGAACACAAAAGGTATGAGTTGGGCATAGGGGTAAGGGACACACTTTAATTAGTGTTTTGAGCAGGAAGAGAAAAGGGATAGGCCCA